ATCCACAAAATCAGGATCCCCATAATCATTGACACTCTCAGTTTCTGCAGTTTGACTTTCACTTTCAATGACCACTGTTTTTCTTTTTTCCCTGAGCCCTCTTTTTCCTCTATCATTGGCGAATTTTTTTGCTTTCTCAGTTTTGTTGTTGTTTCCTTTTCTCAATTACCCTTTTTTTCTTTTTCTCAGTCACTCTTTTTTTCCCTTTCTCAGTTGCCCTTTTTTCCTTTTCTCAATCACCACTTCCTCCACAACCTCCTCTTCATGTCCCAAATCAATAACCTCCTCATTTACATTATACTCTGTTAAGTCACTTTTCTTGGAAATAAATCACAATAACCTTTCTTTTGCTTCACAGATATGGCCATACTAGGTCAAGAACTAACTTATCAGTGTCAAACTTCACCAATTTTCCCGTTATAAGCTCTTTAGAATAATAACTCAACTCATCTGCCTTATATCCTAGTAAATTAGCAAGATCGTGAAGCGAAAACAATGACACATAGTCACCTTGGCACTTGCCACCCCAACTAATTGCCCCACCCATGTAACTCCAGCCAGTCTTTACTTCCACCAACTTATCCCCATGATAAACCATCCACGTGAACAAAATCTCATTATCTACAACAACAATATTCAAATCAAGCAACAACATTTAATACACTAATGGAAAAAAAAAAAAAAGCAAGGGACCACAAAGTCTTTTTATCTTAGCAACATAACAAAAATAAGACTAACAAAACCAAACAAATACACCACACACTCGACATAGACAATTACATAGGCCAAACAAAGTCATCGATTTTCTTTGTCAAACATTATTCACATGAGAACCACAAGAAAGAGACACTTACAATGCACTGGAGCTAGTGCTCTATCCTCTTTGATAATACTCATCTCTGACTCCTTTTTGTCAAGATTCCCTCTAGCTTTTTCCCCGACAAAAGCTCAAACACACCAACAGTACCTCCCTTTCCATAACAAAAGCTCAAACACACCAAGATTCCCTCTTCATTTTGTCAAGATTACCCAAAACCCCCAAATCTTCCAATGGTGGTTCCCAAATCCTCTGTTGTTCGAACCCTAATTTCAAACTTAACCCCTTAAAGTTGACAATAAGACTTTTCATATTCGGTCTCGCCTCTCGCCACATCAGCCACACTAATGGGTCTAGCTTTGTGCAACGTGTGCGAATTGGCCCACTTTTTCTGCCGTGCAAGCTTATTTAATTGGTCAATGGGACAGCGGAGGGGATAATTTTTAGATGGAATTGGAGAAAGGGTGGTTAAGAGTGGAAATTTCAGTTCAATGGGGTTAAATGAGACCGAGCTCGAGTTCCAAGGGTGAAATAGTAAATAAGCCTACTATTTATGTCGTTAGTATTAACAAGGTAGAATATAGAGAACTACATTTAGAGCATAACAAAAAAATTATCACAATTACCATAAGATTTTTAGCAGAGTATGGTTATTCTGGTCAACTTTATAGTGAAACAGTCATCATTTCGATCTTAAAGTTAAAAGAAATTATATGTTTTTACATCCCTCTCTCGAAAAATATAAAATTAGATTTCACAGTGGTTTACGGATAATATTTACTCAGATAGAGCACAACATAGTATTATTATTTCTTATAATGAACATGTTATGACCAATTTTTGGCATATTAGCAATTTCCTGTTACAAAAACATAGAGTGGTCTTTGAGTGTAACTTATAATTTTTAAGTGAAGTTCTGCTATCCTAGGTCAGTGTGGCTCAGAGACAATGCCAAGGTATGTTTTGCATCCATGCATTCATATTTGCATATTTGCAAGTTCATCAAAAGTAGTTGTCAGATGTGTAGGACTGATAAATGGTTTTAGTCTTACATAATCCAGTGCCAAACATCAGTGAATTTTTAATGATGGTTTTATACTCTTTAGTTTGGTGTTTATTTAAGCAAAAGGGTTCTTTTGTCTTTTCAGCTAGGTTTTTAGTTAAGTGGCTTTATTTGTTAAAAAGCCCATTTTTGCTAAAAGCTTTTTTTGGTTTCTGACTAGTTTTAAGCATGTAAAATAAGAAAGGAACTTAATCGTTTTGTTTGCTGCAATGTTGAAAAGAAAAGAACGACCAAATATTCTTATAGAGAGTTTTTTGAGAGTTTATATTGAAAACTCATGTGGCTGTTCCTTGTGAGCCTCCATGAGTGATTACATCATCATTTTTTCATATATGTGTGAATTCATGAGCATTATGCATGTTGGTGATCAACAATCGTGCCTTGAGGTGTGAGCAACTGAGACTAGAGTTGGGTCATCTCTTGTTGACGAAGGAAGACAAGATCGCTGATTGGGTTGAGTAGAACAAGCGAATAGGCAAGTCTGCCTTGTGAGCGTTAGTCTCGTGAGTTGAGACTTGGAAGACCTTTTTGTATTCTTTCTCATAGTGATTTGTTTTCCGGCATAGTGCCCACAATTGTTTTCCTCATATTGAGGTTTTTTACTGCATCAACATATCTTGTGTCCCTTGTGCGATTGTTTATGTTTTTGTTTGAGTTTATTGCTGCTGTGTATTCTTGGATTTTGCTTACAGGATTGTTACAGTATTTCAATCCTGTCGTGGTGTTTGAGTATTAAGAAACAGATTAGTTGGCCATTCTAGGGAATTTCAGAACTGCTTAGTCCATCAAAATCAGTAAATACAAAAATCTCTACCAAGCAAGATATACAAGATATTCAAAAATATAAAGGAGCAACAATTGTTGATGATCATCTGAACCTCCTTTACCAATCCAACTTTATCAAGATCTATTTTGAGACTACATCCAGGAGATCAGATAACACATATGAATTGAGGATAAGCAAAATAGGGGCACAAGTTTTTTATGAAATCTATACCCAAGGTAGCAAAACAGATTGAAGCAGAAGAAAATGACAAATCATACTGTAATAGCTTAGAAGAAGAAGAGCTACATAATATAAACAACATGATGGAAGCATAATGAAGCCATAACAACATGTGAAGATTGTTGACGTGAGTTAACCTAACAAATCAAGGAGATTTATTTCCTAAGTTAATTAGGTGATTTACTTCCTTGTTTCATATAGTTGACAATCATTGTATAATTATGAGATATTCTCCTAATTAATTACTGTATATATTTCCTTGTAAAGCATACTTGTAAACTCCTATATATACCTCCTTATGGAGAAGAATACAGTTAACCTAAAGTATTCAAACCATATTCATATTTTAGTATGGTATCAGAGTGGTCGATCCTAGATCGTCTCTAAGCCCTCAAATCATATCCTCAAATTCAAATACAAACTCTAAATCAAATTCCTCAAATCAAAATCCTAAATTCTCAAATCAAAACCTTTTATAAAATCCCTGACTCCAAACCCTTTCCCATAATTCCTACCCACAAACTCAGATCAAATTACACTTCCACTGCGATATTAGGCCCCACTGTGATTCTCTCCCTCCTTGAAGACCCAAGAAGCATGCGGCCAGTCCTACTGAACAGGCTACACTGGCTTGTGCTTCTGTAGCCACTACCAAAGGTTATGCTTTCAATACCTCATCTCAAAAGCACATGTGAATTATTGACTCAGGTGCCACAGATCACATGACATTTGATCCTGACCAACTTCTTGCTTAGAAACCATCCATACAGTCGGTGGTGTCTAATGCTAATGGTACTCCCTCCCCTGTGGTTAGGGGTGGCTCTCTATCTCTCTCTAACTCCATACATTTGGATTATTAGCCAAAAACTCACTAGCTGATGGTACTTTATATAATACAAAATGTGATCACTAAAAGAAATCGTGACTGAAACTCTCTGCCGGAAGCATGCCTTTTAAAGTCCTAGAAGAGACTTCGAAATAAATAAAGAACTACATTTCATTACTTCCAAACATTACAAACTTAATCATATGGTACAGGCTAAAGCGTCAATGTTGCAAAAGGTTGCAAATAATTACATGAATCTTGCATCCTTTATCTTTCTATCTCTGACTTGGCTAACTTTCTTTTTCCCCTTTGATATTTGTATAATTTGTATTATAAGTCTAGAATTCTCTATTAAACTTGGTATTCTGATATAATAATGTTTTTGCTGAATTTTTTATTTTTGCATGAAGTATCGACTTGAATTTTGAACTTCACTATGATGTGTAAGTCGAATTACATGATATTTTGTGGGGTTGAGTGACTGGGTTAAATACCTTTTGGTCACTGAATTTTACATGAAATTTTAATTCCCTTAGTAACCTGGCAAGCACTAGCAACTGTAACCAGGCTCATCGATATTAACTTACTTGCTATAATATGCTTTTGGTGTGTGCTTGTTGATGCGTGCAATTTCGTTGACATTGTAGTGGCTTTTGTTCTTGGATCTTTTCAGGTGCTGAAGTTTCATAGAAAATATCCTTATTTCCAGTTGGATAATTGTAATTATACTCTACATATACCAATGTTCTATTTCCATTTGGATAAGTGTAATTGGACAACGAATTTACCTTTCTAACATGTATGGAACTCCTTACTTTTTTTTTGAATGAAAACTCTACATTCTGTGTAGTTTTTTTTTTTTTGGGGTCAAATTTTCTTTGTTGTATTATGAATGTGAAGGAAGTAGTTATGATTATCATGAAGCTTCAATCTTATGGACCAAATTCTTGGCTGAGGGGTACTCTCGACATTCATTTTTGCTGATTTCTTTGAAAGTCAGGTTTCATCATGTTCTAAGGAAAGCAAACTTCGTTGCAGATGTTCTTGCATCGGTCATTCTGCCTAAGATTGTCGGATTTGGAGTGCTTCCCCACCTCCCTCCCTTGTCAGCTTTCAAATTCAACTGACGGAGTTTGGGTTGTAAGTGCTTATTTGTGGCGTAGGCACCTCCCTGGTTGGGGACCTGGAGACAGAATCAACATGGTTGCGAGGAGCGGTTTTCCCCAATAACATGCAATCTAAAACAAACCATCTGCAAACAAGAGCTTGCACAACTGTACTAGTGCCAAGGCCTGGAGATTTTCTCCGCTCATTTTTTTCTCATTTATAAACTGCAACTGATGTCTACCTTTAACCACAACTTCATCATGATAATTTAGGAAACAGTAAATTTGATCTATGATTTACGGCACTTTATATCCGTTACATTCACGAGCGTGACACAGTCACTTCAAAATGAATGAATATCAAAACCGTGTACAATTCGATTTATTGTTTTAGCCGATGACAACTAGCCTCCAAGAAATTGCTGGGCCACCCTTATGTAGAACTTTTAATATATGGGTCGTCCTTGTATTTGGAGAACAATGGAAGATCAAGAGCTTCCTCTGCAACTTTTCTGTCATGATGAATCTTCTCTATCAAGCTCTGGAGGGATGAGAAATTGGCCTGTTTATTTCATAAACGAACATTAGGAAACATAGATAGGACAGGGAGGAGGAGCAATTGGTATTTTCCAGAAGAGATTGATTAGTTTTGACTAATACCTCTGGCCGTATGTAGCCGACTATAATAAGACGCAGTTCCTCCCCATAGAAATCCTCACCAAAGTCATGAAGCAACCATGGCTCCTGCATTACAAATTAAATTCAACAGAGAAGAAAAATAATTGCAAATGCTACCTAATGTGTCTTAAAAAACTCACTATAGTCTTTTCAGTGTTGTCGAAATAAGGATTCCAACCAACACTCATGACCATTTTAAAGACACCTCGTTTAGATAATCCAGCCCAACCAAAATATACTCCTGAGGGATGTTCTGAAAGAAGAGATCCATATCCTTCTGTGGATAAATTAGCTGTAGAAAAGATGTAGTGCACTTATAAGTATAAAGAAAAGAGGAAATGAAACAAATTAATTGAGCATGAGAGGGAGAGAAACAACAAAACACAAGCAACAAACCAATAATTTCAAGCTCAGTCAAGCAAAGTCGGACCTAAGGAACATAACTTGTATATTGCCAATATCAGGTGCATTCAAAAAATCGCCTACATATGAGATAAAACTAACCTGTATATATATTATCTAAACTAAGAACAGCAGTCAGTTATTGTTTCATCCAAAGACATGTACAGTTGAATGAAGACTCTAACTGGATAGGCCGACAGCAACACACCTGTAGGGATCCCAAGTACTTTTGAGCCCCGACCGAATCCCTTAGCGACAGGACCACCAATGTGCCAAGGTTCTAGTGGTAAAGTATCTTTTATCCCTGCAACAACAAATCAATGGTGCTAATGAAAAGGGCTTATGCAGAAGAAACTCTTCAAACGTAGTTGTAACACAGACACAGGTACTGAGGTATACAATCTTGGAAAGGAGGTAGGCCCCACTTTTCAGGTTGCAAATCAAGTAGTGAGTTGATCACCTCATCCGCTGAAGTATAAAGATGGGACTGCTTTGGGATGGAGGGTACAGCAACCACCTCCATACCAGCAGCCTTTCCAGCTGTAACACCTGGTCTGACAAAACCAATACAGAAATGTTCCAAGGAAGAAATGTAAAGAAAAGTGACATCACTTCACCATATACACATCATAAGGAAGAAACACAGCATCAAATTACTGAAGGAAGAATTTTCGTGAAGAAGGGCACATCAATTATTTGTTTGCAGCTATTTGCCATCTAAAATGAAATTACTAATCTTAACTAGAAGCATCACACACATACAATGCATGTGTGTTGGTGATGGAAGGTACATTAAGGAAATAAAATTTAGAATGTGGGAGAGAAAATAGTGGGTATTAAGTAGGTATAATTGATTTATTAACTTTAGTTTTTAAATTTAATACCAAACTTGTTCAGTGTGAGAGAGTCGTAACTGACTTTTTTTTTATTGGCCAAAAATGTAATATTGACTTATATTCCAATACAGCATGTGCCAACCTTATCAAAGTTAGTCTGAATCTAACTTGTTTGAGGATAGTATCTGTAGCAAAACTCAAGGTTTTCAATCAGGTTCATTCTTTTATTGAAGAAGTTTTAGATGTAATGTAAACAAGGGTAGTTGAAGAGAACATAAACGAAAACCATAACACTAAAACAAGAATGTTCCCTGCAACAGTTTTTGCTCTGGCTACTTTAATAGAAGAACAAATTCAAACCTGTAAAGAATCCGAGTAAGATACTTACAGAGAATCTTCAATGACAAGGCAGCTGGAAGGGTCAACATTAAGCCTTTTAGCAACTTCAAGGAATCTACAATGCAAAATCATATTTCAGGTTTTAGAATACCATATTTATCTAATCCTTCATTAAAAAAATTCAAATAAAAAACACTCAAATTGAAGCTCAAAAAACACATTTACGCATCTCACATTTCTGGAGAAGGCTTCCCCAATCTTACTTCATCACCACCAATGATGACAGAAAAGGATTCCTTCCATCCTGCGTATGAAATACAATAAGCAAATAAGTGCTTGTTTGTATGATAAGAACGACCCATAATATATCCTAAATGCACGCGATACTAGATAACTTTCCATGTACGATGTAAGCAAATATGCTTCTGGAGAAGTATACCCTGATGAAAAGAAATTTTGGTTTCTATGTTTTCCCTTGGAGAGTTCGAAGCCATTGCCATTGACACTCTATGACCACTCAAATGTTTAATTAATCGATTGGCACCTGGAAGTGCTTTGATGTTGCACCACCTAGAATGACAATTGCCAATAGCCAATTAACAGTTTTCCACTAAAGTACTGCCTGAACACATAACAGTAAGTGAATGATTTGTTCTCATTATCATATGGAAGCATGCTTAAAAACATATGATCTAAAACAAGCTCCATTTAGCCCAAAAAGAAAACGATCCAACATCCAAAATGACTAACATTTAGAAAAAGCAGAAAAGAGACACATTTAACAAAATTCTTTTATATATTGACCTTAACACCCATTATATATTCCTCTCCTAAAAGCCAATAGTAATAAACAGCCAACACAAACATTTGGTACTAGTATAAAAATGATTTTTTAACAGACACAAAAGCAAGTACAGTAGTTAATTACTGATTGGAGAACATGGGGGTAATCTCTGAGAGTAATTCACTCGTTGTGCAAGATAGCCCATAAGCTTCAACAACAGCACTTGCAGCTTCAAGTGGTGTTTTTCCAACTACTTTTTGAACTTCCCGTCCATCCCACTGCATTCCATACTCGCCCAAATAAACTCTTAAAACATCACTTACAATACCATCTGTAATTAATTAAAATAATGAAGAAAAGGAGTCACTAACACCAGTAGAAAGCAAAAGCTACTTCCAAGAATAAAAGTCACATCCAACTTTGGAAGAAAAAAGGAAGCATCAGCCCTTGTCACAAATCAAATAACAAGAAGTTAAAAGCAAAATTGAAAATGCTACTCAGAGTGCAGACCTGTGTTAAGTAGTGTACCATCCAAATCGAGGATAACACAGGACACTATTTTCTTCAAAGGTTGTGCAGTTGACATCTTCTTAATCATGCATAAATCTCACAGTTCAGAATTACACTCCCACTAGTAAAATGTATCTGAAACAAAGACAGATTTATCAATCCAACGAATGAAATTTAATAACTGTTACAAATCAATTTACCAAAATCTCAAAGTCAAACAGAAATTGATCAATGAATTATTCATAACAATAATTGACCTTTTCCCACCTTATCTTAACCAAACACACACAACTCCATTTGTCAATGCTCTATGTCAAAACAGACCTTACTGCTCGTAACTATTGAAGATATCAAATTAAGTACCAACTAAATTCATTTATACCATTCTTCATACTAGCCTCTCGGCATGCCCTTTCTGCATGCTCGAGGCTTTTTCTATTGCACTTACATTTTATTTTAACAATAGAAATTGAATTTTACAGGATTCAATTGTTTTGTTTTTAAACTTAAGGCAAAAGTCATACAAATCATATTTTATGTAATGGGATCAGAATCTTATATTCCATAGCCACATAATCTGCAACTTTCCATTTAAAGAGTGTTTAGCATCAGTTATAACAAATAAGATAATTTGTATGGCTTCTACTTCAATTTTAAAATCAAAACAGTTGAATCCTGTAAAATTCAATTTTTATTGTTAAAATAAAATGCATGAGCAATAGAAAAAGCCTTGAGCACTTAGAAAGAGCATGCCAAGAGACTAGCATGCCAAGTCCAAGTGTCAGTAGTAAGAGACATTTTTTGCAAATTTAGAGAAAACAGTCTTGATTTTGGCCTTCTGATCTTGAAGGGAATTCCACACATCTCTATAATGGTCCTACGAGACGATGGATCAAATTTAGGTTGTACCTCTCTCATAAACCACCTAGACCATATCCCTTCCACATGCCAAAAAGGAAGCTCGTCAAGTATTATCATTTCCAAACAAGCTAGTCTACTCTTCTTGTTATATGCACGTGCAACTAGGACTCCCTTCTTCTCAAATACAAGAGTTTTTGTTTGTTTTCCTCTCTCAGTGGAGAACCCACCGTACATTTTTCTCTCAGATGTTCCATTTCTCATGGGATCACATGCATAATCTGCTTGACAAACAGTTGCAATAAGCCCCAGGGCAATCACTCCCCAGTTCAACTTTTTCCCTAGCAAAATGTTTCCACACCACTTATGCTTCCCTAGTTGGTTGTTTCTTTCCTGAAAAGGCGAAGTGTGGGGATTGCAGCTGCTCCCTCATCAACAATTGGTGGTGCATTAATAGACATGGGTGTAGGACTCGGACTTGGAGTGGTGAGAGAGGTGTGTTAATAGTATGACTTTGTGAACAAACTTCTATAATCACCAAGTTGAAGCCTCTGTGTTCACTGGAATTCAGGAACAGATTCAATGGATATAATTGGAGCAATATAATTGAAATTCAATCCTATGTGTGACTCTAACATAAAAAAAAAAAAACAGATTATAAATGAATACGTACCTATGTATTACTCTAACCTGAAAAACAGATTTAATGGATATAATTATGATATGAATATGCTTGTTTCAAAATGAAAAACAGCGCTAGGCCATGATCCAATGAAAAACAGAATGTTCAATTCTTGTTTATTTGAGTGTCTGCAGAATCATTACAGCTAATCTATTTCAGAACTTATTGTAGAAAATTATTGACCATGGAACTAAAATACTCTAGATCAGATATCTCATCAATTCCAAAATTATAAATAAAATAAAAAACTTTAACCAATAATTCAAAAGGAAAAATTAGAGCAACAACTATGTCTAAAACTTCACCTAAATTTTCAAAAGAGAGCTGAATCAACTAACCAGATGACAGAATTCTGAAAAGAGCTTGAGATAATGATTTGTCTTATGAAGAAACAAGCTACTGAGAGATGGAGAGTGATGGCAGTAGTGACTGAGGCATTCTCGGTGTCAACTGTGGACTGTGGACCATTGACAATCTGCAAAATTTGATTATAAGCATGCAGATTCCACAAATCGTTTTTGACAATTAACCATCCAAAAACAACGTCCCTTCCCTTGCTTTGATTTGAACAAGTAAGATCAGAATATTGTGGAATTAATTCTTGTAGAAATCACAGAGCCCAGAGCTTAAAATCTCATCAAAAACTAAAGATAGTTGGGACTTACCCAGACAGAGGTGAACGAAGCCGAAACGTTCTGTGACAAAATGAAGAGTTTGATTTTTGTGAAGAGTGGCTGCGAGCGAGAGTGGGTGTGAGTTTTTGAGAAAGGAAAATATGAAAAGGAAATGAGGAGGAAAATAGAATGTGGGTTTAAGTATTCCAAAGAATCTAATTCCCAATAGATACAATCCAATCCAAGCGAAAAGCAGAAATTGTTCTTTAGGTTGTCCCTTCCTCATTTGAAAGGGACCCTTTTCGCTGTCGTCGACGAACAGATTGCCGCTCGTTTTTTATTTATTTATGGCTTAAGTGCTACAATCGCCCTCGAACATTTGGTCAATTCCCACTAAACCCCCTCAAAGTTAAAGTGACTCACTTTGACCCCTTGACTGATGTTTTGTATCTCAATTTATCCCTCACCGTTAAGTCTATTAAAAACTCAGTTAAAAATGCTGACGTGGCACTAATAAGACCTACTATTTTGCTAAACTAAATGTCATGTGTGAAGAAAAAAAATTAAAAATTAAAAATTATCTTTTAAAAACCTTAATTTAATTTTTTTTAAATAAAAATAATACTTTAAAACCAAAAAATTCCCCAATCCCTTCCCACTCCTCTCTCTTCCTTTTTTGCAGACCAAAAACCCAGCCAGCCCCTTCCCTAAGCCAAAACCACACCCTCCTAAACCAAATCATCATCACCATTCCCTAACCCTCGGTTATCTCCGTAGTAACCAAAGCCCCTCCTCCAACCTCGACCCAAACAAAGAAAAAAATCCCAAACTTTGGAAAGAATGAAGCCCAAATGGCCAAAACACTCATCCCTGATGTTAGTGGTGAGCAAAGGAAGCAAACACTAGCCAAAACCCACAACTTATCAAAGAAGTTGTTTACATCATAATCAACCGAGGATATCCAGCCTCAAAACGACTAGCACCAAGGCAGACACGCCTTCTTCCCTGCCGAAGGAAGACATTCTTCCGAGGTGCCAGACACCTGCCGAAGCTCCCGACTGCCGAAGCTCCAAATTGCCGAACCTAATCTCCTGGACACATGTCACCACCACAGCGACTTGCACAAAATCCAACATCGAAACTTTGTGCAGACCTCCCACTTTCACCTCCCTATAAATAGGGAACAGTACCCAAGTAAAAAGGGTAACTTCTCTCTCACTTTTACTGTTACTCTGCCAAATTTACCACCCTTAGCTGACTTAAGCATCGGAAAGCCTTCGTCCGGCACCACATCGGTGTTCGAAGCTTAACGATTGCTTCTCCTACTTTGTCTTCTGCAGGCTCTTTCCTTATCGAAGGTCCTCACCTTCTCCACTGCTGAAGACAAACCCCTTTTTCTAAGTTGACCTCCCAAAAAGAGCATCAACATAAGTCAAGCAGGCCGTGCCCATTCCCATCATGGCCAAGGCCAGAATTGGCCACTTCGTCGAGGCCCAAATCCTTGAAGCCATCGGTGTCGATTAAGTCGATGAGAGTGAGGTCCTGAACCTCGCCAATTAAGAGCACCATATTAACAAGCACAATTTCCGGGTGCCATTCGTCTGTGGGTGTCGGAATCTCGGTGAGGCGCTCTGCCGAGTCCGAGAAGGAGCAGCTATGATTTGGATCAAGGGCGATGCCGGCACGGGGAACATCATCGAAGTGGTGAGGCATGTGTGGTCCGTGATAGGGGACATTAGAGTTTTGCGGAACATGGACGATGACGAGGTGTTTACTTTCGCGAAGAAGATCGCTGCGCCGTACGTTATGGTGATGCAGACGAAGCAACTGAGGAGGCTGTCTGTGGTGCACTTCGCCGAGGGAGGGGTGGCAACGCAGCAAATGCGGCGCTGATGATGCAGCCGGGTTGCGACGGGATGTTTGTCGAGTTTGGCATGTTTAAAAGCGGTGACTTGGTGAAGCAGGGGAGGGCAATTGTGCAGGCTATGACCCATTACAGGGACCCGGATGTGCTGGCTAAGGTGACTTGCGGGTTGGGCGAGGCCATGGTTGGGTTGAATTTGAAGGACGAGAAGGTGGAGAGGTTGGCTAATCGGTCTAAGTGATGAAACAATCTTTGTTGTGTGAGAGGAAAAGGAAGGCGGTGTTTGGGTGGGTGGGTTTTAGTTTTTTTACATGTAAAAAATTAATTAAAGATCATGTTTTTGGGTCGTTGTTTGTTTGTTTGTTTGTTGAATTTAGTATTGCTTAATTTAATAAGGAATTAAGTTTATGTTTCTGCTTTGTAGTAATTGATAAAACAATCTTTCTCTAATTCCTAATTATTAGCATGCTAATCTTGTAATGTTTATGTCATTATATGTGCATTATGCTAATCATTCAACTAGTTTTGGTTCCAAGTTGCCTGGGTTTCAACTGGTGTTTGCTTCCTTTGGGTCTGCGAGAGAGGAAGAGAGAGGAGTGGGAAGGGATAATGGGGTTGGAGGAGAGGAATTGGGGATTTTTTTGGTTTTAAAGTAGGAAAAATTACACTTTAGTCCCTAGAGGTTTAGTGTCAATATCGAAATGGGCCCTAAGGTTTCAATTAAATCTATTTCATACCCGACATTTCAAAGTATTATCAATTTACACCCACTATTACATTGACTGTCAAAGTCAAACGTTAAATGCTGGCGTGGCAGTCGTGGCACCCACCTCATAACCAAACAATAGTTAGAAAAAGACCAATATGGGACCCACCCACTAACCAATTCCTAAAAAAAAAATTATATAAAATAAAAAAGCATTAAGAATAAAAACCTACCTAGCCCGTTCTCTATTCCCCACGCCGACCCATCATCGGTCGTCACTCCCTCCCTTTCCTCAGCTCATTCTCTACCTCTTCTGTCTACCCACTCGTTTGCCCCAATTGAACATAACCAACAACCCACCCAGTGACACCCAAACCACAACTCGACCCACCATACCCCTGACCATACAACCCTAGCAACAATCCCATCGCAACAAAATTACACATAACAAACAAAAATGGAGAACCCCACCTGGAGGCCCAACCCCTACGATACAATCTGTAACTCTTAGGCATGCGTTGGTGGTGGCACAAGAGGGAGGCATTGGCGGTTGGCGATGTTGGCTCATGGATATTATGAGCAGTGTGTTTGCCCGTTTTGCGTTTACTCCTGTGATGGAAGGGTAAAGTTCCCCACTGCCTTGAGAACCATAGACTGGTCAACAAGTCAGCTTTCTTTGGTGTGCGAGCGTGCCACTGCTAGTAATAAAAATTCTAGCAGACTTAGTTTGGAATGGATAACTTGCGCCCCAAGTTACTGATTTCTGCAAACAAACGATTGTGAATTTGGGTGAGGAATATCTCCCAAGTAAGTTCTTTTCTTGCCTCAGACTGGTGAGGACTTTAACAATTTATCTCAGTATAAAGAGGTTGTTCTGGCCAGAATGGTTGATGGAATTTAAACTGTTTTCAGGCAGAACTGCCTTTTACAAAACTATAACAATAAATACTCATGCTAGAGAGATGAAGATACAGCTGGAACTCCATTTCTGTCGAGATGGAAGGTTCTGTTCTGGGCTGGACTGGAAATGTCCGGGCTGGACTGGAGACGCTTGGGCTGGACTGGACCGTTGACAACCTTGACTGCTAAGCTTCAACTATAAATCGATACCAAAGGTTGATTCTGGCAGAGCTTCAATGTACCT